GAGGGGGGGGATGCAGGGGGAGGGGGGGAAATGCAGCAGTGACTTGGAAGCAACCATGCAAGAAATAATAAGGGAGGAATCCACATCGCCACTACAAGTCTTCAGTTCCTTTCCAGCAGGGTGAGGTGTATCAATCCATGGATTTCTACAGCTCAATGCTCTACACCAGTGTCTCTCAACCAGTGGTATGAGTACCCTTAGGGGTACTCGAGAGAAGTCTGGGAGGTATGTCAACAACTGACATTGGAAGCAACCATGCAAGAAATAATAAGGGAGGAATCCACATCGCCACTACAAGTCTTCAGTTCCTTTCCAGCAGGGTGAGGTGTATCAATCCATGGATTTCTACAGCTCAATGCTCTACACCAGTGTCTCTCAACCAGTGGTATGAGTACCCTTAGGGGTACTCGAGAGAAGTCTGGGAGGTATGTCAACAACTGACATTGGGAGACAACTGAATTTGTGTGTTAGGTTTCACAGCATTTTATTATTTTAAAAATTTTACACACCCAAAAGTGTCATTGCCTGCCCAGCTACAATTAAGTTGTTTAAACAAATGTGTTGCAATGGTAGGAAAAAAAAACTGTGTGTGTGTCTGAAAACTGTAGGTAGTGGGGGTACTTGATAAAAAAAGTGAGAAACACTGATTTACACCGTGCACAAGTGTACTGGAGGATTCAAGTCAACGGTGATGTACCACGTACATGCCAAAAAGCTACTCAATGCCATACCCAGAAAGTATCTATTCCTGACAAGGTCTCTCACAATACTTGAGAATTAAGAAAAGATGGGATCGTCACTCCAACTATTTAAGAGGAAGACCAAATATTCGGGCATAAGTATTTTACCATTTGAAGGGCTCCCTGTGGCAGATGTTATATAATCTAAGAATACTGATTCAGTAATAAATTTTATGAATACTATATCTGAGCTGGTCAATAAAGTTACTGAACAGTTATTACTGAGATAAGACTTTTCTGTATGAATGTAATGAGCCAGCTTACTAGGTGACTATCAGGGAAACAAGAGGATAGCTCTAGAAAAGCAACTTTTCAAATACTTCAGGGGGAGAGAGGGAGGAGGAAACAATTACAGGACAGTGGCATACTTCCAGGCTCCAACCTGGCTCCAACCTGAAGATACACACACGGTTTCCCAACACCATAGACTAAAAGATCAAAGGGCTTTATTAACAACAGTTAGGATGGGGACTTGTTTTGTGAGAAGAGAGGCCCAAGGACAGGACAAAGTTTTCAAATGACACTCTGTGAGTTAAGGGAAGAGACCCAGCCCCTAGATCCTAATGCTTTTAGGGAGCCCACAGGAAGCTTAAACCTGTCAGGAGCCCAATGTGAGAGACGGGCAGGCACCCAGTAAGGAAGCCATGTTTACAAGTTGTTCTTTTAAAAAAAAGAAACAAAACAAACCACCTTTTCTCTGAAACACTTGAGTTCAAAATAGTTTGGTCATTCTCTTAACCCACTGCTCCTGGAGCAAAAAGAACTGCAGGTGGGGATGCAGCCCAAGATGTGGTTCTTCCACTTGTAGACATGATTCCTCCTCCAGAAAGGACCCCCTAGACTAGAGCGAGGGTACCAAAGAGACCAGGAGGTATGAGAGAAGCAGTTAGCCCAGTAACTGTGACTTTCACTAATAGGGGGCCCAGCAGGGAACTTAAGGTGAGGAGATATTCTGCTACTTATGCAAAATAAAGGATCACTTCAGGAATGCACAAGGATTCGGAAATGGGAGAATTCTGCTTGGCACCTGGCAAGTTAAAGGAGAGACATTTGAAAAACACCCACACACCACAATAGGTTTCTCCAGACAAATATCTGTGATAAATGGATGGGGGCAATGAAGTAAAAATAAGCAGCTCTTGTTGCAAACACTGACTGTTGTAGCCTAGATGGTTGCTATTCTAGGTTTAAAAAAGACAAAAAACCACACACACACACACACACACACGGAGAGCTAGTGACTTTTTAATTTCATGTCAGCAAATCTGCTGTTTCTCTTAAGTCATCAGAAGAAAGCACCAAGTTCCAACCGAAGATATCACATGGGCATGATATCCTGGTCCAGCCTTTAAAATTTAAAAAGGAAGTTAGCTGGTTTTGTAAAAAGCACTTGCCATGCCAAATTTTCTATAGCAGAGCCTCTTCATGCTTTGATGTGGGCTTCAGGCATTTGGGCTCATAAGGCTCAACAAGTTCTGAGTGGTCACAAGATTTGAAATAAGTGCTTTTCAAAAAAGGCTAAGATGGCAGGGGGAGGAGAGAGAGTGTTTTAACAGGAATGCAGTTGAAACAGACAACAGATTTCAGAGTAGGAGAAGGAGCAATGGCAGTCTGGAATCTAAGTATTCACTACCCTCTGGCCTTCATCTGAAAGTGGAAGAGTAATTCCTCCATTAGAGGAGAACAGCAATGTTTGCTGGGTCTTCAGATGAACACAGAAGTGAAAGTAAGCTCTGCAGTGCTCTGGCAAGAAGCTGGCTGGCTGTGGTGCTTAGCTGTGGGAGGAAGGGTGGCACACACCATACCTGGCTCCCAGGCTCAACAGCTAGCAGGTTCAAGGTGCTGGCTGGAGTCACCCCCCAGTTCTGGAATGCCTGAACGCACACCCCCCAGTTCTGGAATGCCTGAACGCACACCCTCCCACTCCAAAATGGCAGCAGAGGGATGGGGGAGCTGCAGCCACACATACTGGTCCCTAGGAATTGCTTCTTTTCTCTTTTCTGCTTCCTCTGGTTCTCAGCCAGTAAGGGGAAAGTGCAGAGCCTGCTGCATTCCTCCCCTGGGCAGCAGGAAGTGAGAGAAATGCAGCAGGCGCTGCACTTTCCCATTGCTTGCTGAGAATCAGAGGAAGCAGAAAGAAAAGCAACATGTAAGGACTGGTATTTGTGGCTGCAGCTCCCCCCCCCCCCCAAAAAATGGAGCCCAGATCCCTCCCTGCACTCATCCCTACATCCCCTCCCCTGCATCATTCACCTCCCCACATACACCCAGCTCTGAAGCTCCCCCCTCCCTAGCCTTTTGCCCTTATTCCTGGACACACCCTCTCCAAAACTCCCTGCCCTGATTCATGAACCCCCAAAACCATCCACTGAGCCCCAGCACTGAGCCCGTGACACTAACTCCTTGCCCTGAGTACCCCCCCCCCCCCCCGAAACTTAAATTACCTTCACTCTGGATGAACATGAGACTTTTGATCAATGAGACAACTTAGGATCATACACATTCCCCATTGAGCCTCTTCCTTATACTTCAGGAACCTCATTTAATTCCAGGAGAGAAGGAAGTGAGTTGTAATTAAAGCAACAGAGGTGATGAGTGAATTCCAGCAGAGATATCAAAGGAGCTCTAATGCTTAATGAATAAGGAAGGGATCTCTGCTAGTTGGAGCACTGGCTGGCTGACAGCACAGCATCGCTCAGGATAGGGATTCAGTGTCTAACTCTGATAAGAAACAGCAGCAGAATGGCAGGAGCTGGGTGAGTTTCCTAAGTGGAAGGAAGGGAGCAGGAGTCTGCTTTCAGGCAAGCAATAACCCCTCCCTGCATGCCTCTCCCTAGTGATCCATTCCCAGCTTTGCTCCCTTCACACATGTCAGAATTATTTTATGGCTTCAAAAAGGAAATCCCAGTCACAGCTTTTAACAAGGTTTCCTCTTTGCTCAAGCAAGTCAAGTCTTTCACTCACCGTGAAACAAAATGCAGGACAATGTAGCACTTTAAAGACTAACAAGATGGTTTATTAGATGATGAGCTTTCGTGGGCCAGACCCACTTCCTCAGATCACCGTGAAACACATTCAAAGAAAAGCTATACCCCTCTCAGATTTTAAAATGAACATAATCATTGTTTCTTGGAAGACAGAGTCCAATTAAGAAGCTTAGTCAGACAAGAAGCTGCACTGGAAACCAGAAAAAACAAAGTTGCTGGTCTCTTGGTGCTTGTGGGGAGTGATCACAGCAAGATGGTCGTACACCCTAGATTGCCATCCCCCACTGCAGAAACACAAGGGACGATAGGGAATGGTTAATTCAAAGCTGAAGTGGAAGGAAGACCTATGCCTAGACTCTCCTTAATGGCACAGGATTATCTCACTCTGAACAGTTCTTTTATACTTTTGTTAGTCTCAAAGGTACTACAAGTCTACACTAGAAAAGTACTTGGAATAATAACTCCCGAAATAACATGCCCACACTACAGGGAAGCCCCAAAATTAGTCCGAGGCAGGCTCCCTTAATAAGGATGTGTTAACCTCTATTTAGAATCCCAGAAGTACTAGGGACTCGTTAGATTGAATGACTCTGGGGAATAGTTATTTTGAAATAACAGCATTGGAACGGCCATACTACTGCTATTTTGAAATAAGCATTATTCCTCATGGAAAGCAGAAGCTATTATTTCAAAGTAACAGGCTTAGCAGCATGAATGCTCTGCTTATTAATTTTGAAATAAGAGGAGTTATTTCGAAATAACTCCCTAGTGTAGAACAGAGGTTAAACACGGCTACTCATCGGACACTCATTTTGCAGTTAGCAAATTCATCTCCTGTTAGACAATATGCAGAACTGTATAGTGTCCCTCTCATCAGGGCTATTTAAATAAAAAAAAAACCATCACTACAACAGCATCTACATGTGACACCCAGTAACCTTTGCTGCTGAATGAAACATTTTGTTTTGGGATTAGGGTCTTTATCCTTA